ATATAGGACTTGTAAAAGAAAATATGAAAGTTGGTTAAAACAGTTAAATCCATATTAATAGAGCAATTAAACAACGAACACAAAATTAATAATTCGCTTCAATATGTAACATGTTTTGTTTAATTTTTTCATAAATGAAAATGAATGTCGGTTAATATTATTGTACAAATTAATTCTATAATCAGAAGATACCTTTAAATATCAAGGTAAACAAATTAATCTATAAACAAAAGGAACCCTTATAATATGAGAGTTTAAGAATTGATAATTTTATTGGTTTAGTTCACTATGAAAATGACAAGTTGACCAACGGAAGAAAAAAAGACAAGTTTCAAGGTTATGGAATAGCAAAATAACAAGATAATATGTAGCAAGTTGGATTAGAACTTGCGACTAAATGAAACAAGCTATGTATCTCAGCCACTCAACCATCCTTACTATCTTGCATTAATTTTGCACCCAAGTCTACTTATACAAAAACTATAGTTTATACGTAATTTTCCGTTATTCTTCGAGGTTTTGTACGTAACATCGAAATTCTCGGGGGCCGGGGCCCCCCGAGGCCCCACCTAGCTCCGCCCCTGGTTGAATGCGAGAATGCACACACATAAACCATGTGTATGAGTATCCATGCCTCTGAGTCCAACGTCTACATTTGCAAGCGAGTCCGTCGTTTGCACGGCTCAACTCGTGAATCTCTCGTTTTTCCGACCCAATTCCTCCACCACCGCGAAACCTACTTGGATTCAGATGCTTTGCTATACGTATACCGTATCAGATGAAGGAGGACAGTAGTAAAGGCGCAGAAGATATGCATGCAAATGCAACATGAGTCTAGTGTAGTCAAGTCAACAGGGTCGGATCAGATTGCTCGACCTGGCCACAAATTGCGGGCTTGTTATGGGAATGTTTCAAGGACACAAGACAAGTGCACATGGCTTTTTCTCTTCGTGCCTTTAGAATTAGAACTACTCCCAGTCCCAGTCCCAGTCCCACTCCCACTCCCACCCATGTGATTGGATACGGGATAGGCTCGGTTTTTGCATCTCCAAAAAGAAATCCAAATATCTATGGTTGTTAATCCTAATCCCCCAATGATTAGCCCAATATATTTTAGCCATCGTTTGGAAGTTGCGAATGTTAAATCGTTGAATTGTAATGAATCACCATAATATAAATGCATATATTGATACAATGGATGCATTTTAACAATACATTATTTGGTTGTTGAGATTCTATTTTATGCATTGATTTACATAAAGTTACTTTTATGGGGAAATGTCACATTTACCCTCAACTTTTAGAATAAGACAAAAACTATTGGGGATATAAATGGAAACAAAAAATTACACAAATCTAAAACCAACAATCACAACCAGGGGTGTATATGGATCGGGTGGTCCGTGTTTAGTCATTTTAATTACCCGACCCATGCACTACGGTTTGAGAAATATTAAACCCAAACCCACCCAAAAAAATTTAAATCCTACGGTTTGTTTCTAATTGAGTTGGGTCGGGTTGGCAATATTTTTAAGTAAAAACCCAACCCAACACAAAATTTGTAATTATTATACACCATAAAAATATTTTATAACTAATTAAAATTTTAAACGAATAAACCGAGGTGAAAGGTATCAAATTCACAAATGTTGTTTGAATTTTAATAATATGTGATTTACTTCAACATATGTCTAGTTTTTTTCACGATATTTGTTGAAATAGGCTAAAAGGTTATAAACAAATGCATCCATAATGTGTAATTCTATTAAAATTGTACACAAGAAAAAGGATTACGTGAATCATAGCTATATTAAATTTATCTCTAAACTTTAAACCGAAGAATGCATTAGATTAGGGAGACCATGAGAGAAAACATGGTGAAATATCTTAATTTTCTCATAAGTATTGCTATATACGACATAAATATTTTTTGGATACAAACTCCTACAAATAGTTGAAACACGGGTTGGGTCGGGTTCTGCGGGTTGTGTAATCCAAAATCCAAACCCAACCCAAAAGAGGCGGGTTGTACAAAAGAAAACCCCCACCCAACCCAAAACCTTCATTTTAGCGATAAATGCGAGTGGGTTGGGTCGGGTTGGATAGGTGGGTCGGTTTACGGGTGTGTTTGTTCACCCCTAATCACAACAATCTCAACTTTTAGTTGAGATTGTATAATGCATCATTTTTTGTGATTGTTGGTGGGACTGTACGTGGGCACCGGGCCGTGTCATCCACGGGCTAGCACGGCACGGCACGAGCACGAGCACGAAATAAATGGGCCAGCCCGGCACCAGCACGAATAATTTATCGGCCGTGTCGGGCCTAAACTTCATGGGCACGGGCACGAGCACGACACGGTATATAAGTAGGCCGTGTCGGACCTAATATTTTGCAGACTTTATTGAGTATAAGAACGGACATGGCACGAAAATAATATTTATTTGATAGAAAATAAATATAAAAATAATTATAGTTTCAAATATTACAAAACACAAGTAGAAAAATAATTATTTGTTGTTGTTAGAAGTGTCATAAAGATATACACATAATTACTAACATAAGTAAAAATGGACAAAGAATTAAACAAAGCCAAATCACATTCGCTATACTTCCAATTTCCTTTTTCCCCTTATTTGTTACTTTTCTCAAATATTATTGGTTAATACTATCTTCCTCCGTCTAATTTTCACCTTCTTTTTCATTCTCTCTTTTGTCTTCGTCCGTTTCATTAAACACAAATACGAGTATGGCACGAGCACGAATAGGCAAGGCACGATTCGAACCGTGCCCGGGCCTGGGTCTGGCCTAGCAAAGTTAACAAATGGGCTTGCATGGCACGACACGAAAACTGGCGGGCCGTGCCAAGCACGACACGAAATAAATGAGCCCGAAGCGTTCCCGTGTCGGCCCAAGCACGGCCCAACGCCCATGTACAGGTGAGACCTACCTAAAACAATGCATGCATTGTTTAACACTTTAACACTTCCAAACATTGTATTGTGCACAATACATGTATTCAACAAACACAACTCTAACAATCACAACTTCCAAATGACCCATTAATTAACAATGAGTGACCTTGCCTGGATTTAGTTTAGATTTTGATTTAACAAACCAACCACAAAAAATTATTTTCACACAAGTTCAAGTAATAATGGGTAAAGGTCATGATTGGTCACTCAGATTACTAAAAAAAATATCAAGTTTGGTCATTAGAAAAATTTAATTTCAATGGCGCCCAAGGTGAACCATGGTAAGCGGCTCGTCGTCAACATCAAGTCCAAAGATTCCCAGTTCTCCGAATCCTCCAAACGCTCGAAAAAGTTAAACTACTCACAAGGTTTTTGTGAGTAGATACACTTACATGATCCAAATGGGTAAAGGAAAAGGAGAAGTGATGGCTCATTAAATTTTCAACCACTTTTAACTCTCTAACCCTCTTTCTTTCTCTCTCTCATTTCTTTCTTTGTTTTCCCGCCTGTAATGGATATTGGTCAGTGATAAATTATTTTTTTTATGTACTGATATTAGTATGTGATGATAGGATATAATGATATTCATGCGATGGATATTAGTTTGTGAAGTAATGGATATTGTGTCTTCCATCATAACTAAACACACTATCAAATCCTAACACAGAAGGCTTGCAAACTTAGTTAGGACTGCCCGCCGAGGGCCATGGGCATTCGGCCCACGAAACAACAATATTTGTTTGCAATGAATGGATATTAATTTAGGTGGTTCGGATATGTGTAGTTGGTATTAGTCTGCGATGGACAGATATTAATCTGTGTGGTGGGTATCAGTTTGCGATGGTCACATATTAATCTGTTCATCGTGGGTATTTGTCTGCGATTGTCAGATACTAGTCTGTGTGAAGTGGGTATTAGTCTCTATGGTGAGGATATTAATTATGGGCTGACTAGATATTGGTCTTAGAGGATATTTGTTATAGTCAACGGATATTATTTTGGGTGGTTTGGATATTTGTTTTGTGTGGATGTGTTATTCTGACGAAGTGATGGAAAGAGAGGAGGAGACTCGCATATGATTTTTTTTTAATTTGTGGGCCCCTTTTCTCTGTAGCTTGATAGTGAGAATGGGCCAACCTGTTTTAATTTGTGGGACCCCTTTTTTCTATCCCTGTGAGTATATACTCACAACTTACCTTGTGAGTAGGATAACTAGATTGCCAAACGCCAAAGGTAGGTCGGGTTTCTGTTTTCTTTCCCTTCTCTCTCTTTTTGCCTTGTGTTCCTCTCGATTATGGTTCTCGTGTTAATTACGAACGAATGATTGACTAATTATTTCCAGAGTCGTTGTTGGGAAACCCAAGTTGGAGAAAGTGAGTCCGGAGAATGAATCCACGCCGATGGTGACCCCGCGCTCGCTTCGCACTCAAGGGTCTGTCCCGGCCCGCGTGGTCGGCGTTTACGAAACCCATGGATGAACTCCCCCCGCGAATACCATGTTCTCCGCAAAAAATGAAACGCCTCTTCGAAAGTACACTCCGGATTAGGGTACGACATCGCGAAAATCGCCGACCACCGTCTCGGGTCGGATTTGGATTTGGAATCTCGAATCCCTCGAGTGTGCATTCAATACATCTTTCGTGAACAGCCCACAGGAACCCGAAAACGCGACTAAAACGTCTGGCTTCACTTTCGCCACCATTTCAGCCAAATCCGCCCTTTTTCCGCCACCGGTGACATTCGTCAAGCATGTCCAGGACAAGTTCTACTCGGATGTGAGGGTCTACAAGAAGAAAGAGATTGATCAATAAAAAAAATTATTTGTATTTTTATTTTTCTAATGATGAAAATTTTGAGGTGTAAATTTTGAAATATTTAATTTTATTATTTTTTAATTGTCATGTCATATATTTAACAGTCAATTTAAAGAGTTGACTGGAACATAAGCAAAAAGAATTAACTGAAACATAAGCAAAAGCTAACGAAATTGAACGGAGAATGACCAAACTTGATATTTTTTAATAATTTCAATGACCACGAATGAAATTAAATATTTTTAGTAATCAAATTTAACATTTTTTTTAGTAATCTTAGGGACCAATCATGACATTTACCGCACAAAGTTAATAATCACATAATATAAAGAGAATATAGTAAAATTCACAAGCTCTAATGATTTACTGTTCAGATTTAATGTTCGTGTTCGTAGTACTGCACATATAATGTAAGCAAAAGCAAGCCTTCACAGTTTATTATTATTAACAGACATGAGACAACAGCATCCCTAGCTACGCTTCTCTTTTATTCATTAGTTCCATTTTGAACAGACAAGTAGGCGATACCGAAGGAGATGGAGATCGAGACAGAGACAGAAACGGTGTTCAATTGGAAACCATGCTCTCAGTCTCTTCTACAAACCCATCTCCGGTCCATTCTTTATCAGACTTCAAACCTTTCCTCACAGCCTTCCTCTGTCGAATGGCCTCTTGCTGCCGCCGTACCAGATCAGTGTGACTTGTGAAGTACTCCAGAGATGCTCTGTGAAAAAAACAATTAACAATTCTGGTTATGGAGAGAAGATAAAGCGTCATGCCATCGGGATGGATTCGAAACAACATTTACCCTCTGAAATCTTCAATGGATGAGAAATCGTGCGTTCTCATGAATTCCTTCAGCTCCTCACACAGTCTCTTCACCATGGGATAGCCGTGCATCATCACTCCCGTGCACACCTGCTCACTCATAGTAGCCAACCAAATAAATAAGAACACCTTTCGGGATGCTCTTTAGCTACAATTGTGCAGACAGATAGAGATAGATAGAGAGAGAGAGAGAGAGAGAACTACAGGATAGTTCCTACCTGAACTGTACTCGCTCCAAGGAGAATAAACTCAGCAGCATCACCACCTGTCTCGACACCCCCAATGCCAGAGAGCGAGTAGTGATCGTCGTTAAATTCTGCCTTCATCATTTTGGCGATGTTCATTACTTTTCCGAGTGCAATTGGGTGCACTGCTTTTGAAGAGTACCCACCTGGAGTTGAATACCTGATACCAACAAAGTGAGCATATGAAGAATATACATACATGCGTATATAACATAGCAGAAATTGGCTGATTGTCCAAGAAGCGTTTGTACCCCTCTACACAGGGCTCTGGCCGTAAGGTCTTCAAATTGATACCCATTACACTCATGATGGTGTTAATAGCTGCTATACCCTCACATCCAGATCTTAGAGCCACTCGAGCTGGCTGTTGAAAAAATAAGTTTTTTTACTTGAGTTCAACAACATGTTTGCCCCAAAATTAATGTAAAGAATAGCATATCATGGAAAATTTCATCTACTAGTCACTAGGAGACCAGCAAGCAGATAATATACACAACAGAGGACCCCCGACATAGAAAAAGGGGGGAAAGGACTGCTTTGGCTATTGATGAATGCTTGTCTGGCTTTACATGCATATAAAACTGGAACCTGAACAATTCATTTTCTGAATACAAAGAGGTACATAGAGTTCAGGTCAACTTCCCCTCACCCACCCATTCTCTGTTTCGGAAAAACCAGTTTAGGTTGAATACCAAGAGAATTAGCAGGACCATAATTGAAACTAGAATCACCAACTGCCCTTGTTGATGAGCTCTATAAGATAAACAATTTCACAGACCGCCGTCGTACTCCAGGACTTAGTGGAATATACTAAACAGAGAACTACGGGAAGTCATATATGGAGCATACAAAGTATGAGAATATAAAAACTAGGAAAACAGGATGCAAAGAAGTCACCTCTGTTATATCAGTGATATTAGGAGTCATCTTAGCCCAGACAGGAACAGTAGCTTTTGCATTTATCCATCCGCAAACTTCTTCCAATAGAACACAGTCCTGCCCTACTGCTGCACCCATTTTACGCTCAGGCATACCATGAGGGCAAGAGAAATTGATTTCGAAAGCATCCTGTACAGTAGATTTAAGAGTTTAATGTGGCAAGTAGTGACCAATATTGATATATACAAATATTAGGAGATATAAGTTAAGCTCACAATTCCAGTTTGCTCTACACGATCTATGAGTTCCTCCCAGCCCGATTTGCTGTACTCCTCCATGATAGAAGCGATCAAAATCCTATCTGGATATTCCTCTTTCAGTTGCTTAAACTCCTGCAGCATTATCTCGAGGGGTCGGTCACTTATAAGCTCTATGTTCTCCCAACCGATTATCTGTCCTTTGACTGAGCCATTTGCTCCAGCCCGTAGCTTGGCATACCTAGGAGTTACGTTGATTACCTTAGCTGCATCTAGCGATACCTAGCAAATCAGGATGATCAACTAAATCTCATCAGATAACGGATGAAAGCAGGATGCTTCAGAAGAAACTCAGAGATGGTTCTCAGATAAGCAGGGGGTGGAACTTGAAATTCACTGCAAATAACATTTAAGAACTCAGATAGGCAGTACTTCATACACATGAAGAAGTAAAAACAATGTCGTCTACATATATTAAAGAAACTGATATATATACTGCCAATCACTGTCATTGTAAATTGTACCATCGGCATCTCACAAAAACAGCTAAATATATACTGTTGCAGGCTGAAAACAGTACAATGTTCAAATTCAGAAATTTGCAAAGGAATAAGGCTCCCGTTCACAAAAATTGAGAATTGCCCATTGCAGATGTTGCTCCATTCCACAGAATGTAAGAAAATATGTGTAATGCCAATTGATGAAAATCCACTCTTCTTAATTTTTCCAAGAAGTGTGAAACGATTTGAGCATGAGAAAGAAAGAGAGCAGAAATAAGTAGCCATGTGAAACATTATAGCAAGCCTTTAACTCATTACTGTTGATGCATGTTACAAGAATCCCCAACTCATTCTGGACAAAGGGACCCCTCTTACAGTCTCATTCAAACTGGTAAAGCACTAAAGTCAACTCTGCCAATTCGGATATGGTCTGATTTCGTAACAGGATATGACCTGACCATCAGTCCATTAACTTGAAATCGGAGGTAACAAACGATTCACACTCTGATCTGGCTTCTATCCCCAACAAATACAATGGTCAGAACTCTATGCTTAGCAGAAATAAAAACTAGGGCCAATTTCAATTTGCATAGTATCATCAATTGACACGAGTTCCTCTAAAACGGATCCAATTCTCAGACTTATCAGCAGGGCGGTCCAAATCAAAATCTCAGAGCCTAGCAAAACCACTGAATTGGGCGAAACTACAGACCGGTCGAGCAAAAGACGTAAAGAGAAGGAGAAAAAAAGGACTCACAGTCTTGGCAATCACAGCACCCCAGCCTTCGTCAAAAGCACGCTTCATCACAGTGTAGTTGGTCCCTGGGGGACCAGAGCCGATGACGAACGGATTAGGCATTTTCAATCCGTTCACCGTCACACTCAGATCCGGCTCCGCTGCCGCGCTTCCATTCTCGCCGCCGGCGGCAGCCACAAGCTTGAAGTTGCAGAAACCCGCCCCGGGCCGCCGACTGTGGACTGATCTCGTCCCTGCGATGTGGTTCCGGTAGCCGAGCGGCTGGGGCGCGAAACTCAGGGACGCCATGAGTAATCGTCGGTTCCGACGATCAAAGAGCTGGCCTGGCTTCCGATGAGGACGAGTTCAGAGAGGAGAGAGAGAGAGCTGCGGTGGAGGACGGAAAATTCAGGGGGGAAATGGAGTAGTTACTGAAGAGAGAGAGAATCTCTTGCGTCAGTTTAGTTAGCTGAAAGAAAGGTAGCCAAGCTTGTGAATATTCAGAGCAAATTGCTTCTGGTTTTCAAAGGGTTTCGGATTTGTACGCCAGCTGGGAAGGATGGTGGCCACCTGGCTTGCTGGTTGGATTAGAATTTAGATCATTTTTATATTTAATATTTCACATTATTGTTGGAATCATTGGTCGATTCCAATGGCTCCTCCGAATCCGGGAATTAGATTGTTTATTCGGTTCAGAAAAAAAATTAGTACACAATTATGAAACGTATCGATCTGTCCATTAGCTTCTGTGCGTTGACGACGAGGATGCTATGAGATAACAAGTGTGCAGTCAGTGTGTGCATGCATTCTCTCGATATTTGACACATCAGCCCAATGGGCTCTTTATTTTCTGGATAAGAAGCCCAAATGTCTTAACGTTGGCCCGACTCTTTTCATTGCTTAATCTTTTTGAGATTCAGGGGGACAAGGTGATTTCCCTTAAGAAGCTCCGATCGGATGCTCGGCCTTCGCGCTAACTAGGGAGAGGAATCGTATGGTCCTCCTGACTCGGGAAGTAAAGGCCCAATTGATGCTGGAGGATCCACGAAAATGTTGGTAAGATAATGGAATCAAGGTGGCCTACCGCTGGAATTAGCGAGGACAATTTGAACCCGCTTCGCCGGTTATTACTCGACCTAATTTATGCCAGGGCAGGTATTACCCGACATGTAGTATCATGGGGGCGGGACATAGGCATCTACTTCCGATTCAGAGTATGTCCACTATGGATGCGATCGACCAACGAATTCACCATTTCGACATTAAGTCTAAATACTGCTCGACCGCGATTTCAAAATGATCTAACTCCGGAGGCAATCTACTGTTCACCATCTAATTGACAGTGACATAACCAGATTCCAATCTGACAAACGCGACTTGAATCTATGGCTCTATACTTATATTTATGGGAAGAGAACCATAATCTTACAGCCATATTACGAGGCCACAGAGATGGCAACCGAAACATGGAGAAAGGACGAGGATGTAAGGGATTAAAAGGCTTAACAAACCATTTCCCAACAACTCGAGTTATTGAGACCAAGTGATTAGTTCGCTAACATAGTATCAGAGCCTACGATCGAAAGGTCATGATTTTGAATCCTCATAACAACCCCCAATTTAATGCCATTTGTTTAGCACAAGGGATGATACGTCCAATTTGTGCAAACTAAAGCCTCGTGGTTTAATAGCACAAGGGTTTAACTTGTGCAAAATGTACAAATTCACATTTTTGGCATCGGCTTTCGTTTGAGGGGGATGTGTAAGAGATTAAAAGGTTTAACAAACCCTTTCCCAACAGCTCGAGTTATTGAACCAAGTGATTAGTTCGCTAACAGAGAAGGCATGAAAATGCAGCCTAATGAGAACCAGATGATAACGTCTAAGAGTGGACGATGAGATTACACACTGACGATGTCGGTTGGAACTTGAAAGAGAAGGACGGAGAAGAAGAAGTTTCCTAGTCTGCGATCTGAAGAAGACAAAAAGAAAATAAGGTTAAAAATCAATTTTGTTTTTCCTAAAGTCATTTAACAATGTAAACTTAAATAAGTTAAAAATCAATTTTATTTTTCCTAAATCATTTAACAATGTCAACTTATCATTAACTATGTTAGTGAATCCTGTCGTTGTCTCACAATATAAGAGACGTTGGCCAGAAGATTGAGTTCCAACGTTCATCTTCTTATCCTCGTTTTTCCTTCTCCAAAAACACAAACACAGAAGTCAGAAAGGTGTTGCTTTCGGACTTTGATTGCAGGGACTCCTGGAGATGGTTTTCCTAAATTCTACCTGCAATAACATAGTGGGGGAAAATAACACTCTAAGGAGAGTGATCAAAATCACGCCTTCAATCTCTTCCCTACCGTTTTTTTGACATCTTCTCATCCAGCAATGTACCGTTAGAGCTTGCACAACGAATTCCCTCTAGTTCTGCTTCGCCACCATTAGTCCGTTCATCATGGATAAGATAATCATCATCCAAATCTCCCCTTTGGTTGCTAAAGGATCTCTTCGCTATAGTATATCTATTTTTTATCTATATAGTAACCACGGTATTTGCTATTAACTTTTACTTACCGATACTACAATGTCCGGGTGCCTTTTTCATGACTAGTCGTCACTATTTCCAGTTTCCCGTTCTCTAACATCACAATGTTCACGAACTTCTCAATCCGAACTTTAACGACCATCTCCGCCGGCAAACCGGCGCTATTTAGTGATTTCACCAACCTCGTCATTAATTCCCCGTCGTTGACCATCTCTTTCATAAAGCAAGCAACATCCAAATTTTTACTACTATTACTAAAATTACCACCATCTCCTCCTACTAAAGATCCCTCCATGCAAATGTGGATCACTTTAAGAATCTTCTTTGACTCGTCAATGGCCGAGAGAATGACCCGGCTACTCGACCTAAACCAACCGAGCTTGGCCGCAAGCAGGAGTAGTGCCTCCAGCTTCTCCACATCATCACGATGGCCAGGACCTTCTTATCCCAGCAACTTGATCTCACGGTGTTGATGTCTCCGTCCTTGTCCCATATTTTTCGACTCCTTTTTAATTCCGGGTCATTTCGGTCTGACTAGGTTGATTCACAACGAAATGACTGTGAGGGTTGTGATTCCCTGCAGGCAAGTACATTATCGTAGACAAGTTTTGCTGACGTGGTGATTTCCAGACCGCCCAATTCGCATACTGTGATAATAGCATTGTTTTCCTCAATTTGGTGTGAGAATAGGTTTAATTCCTTCACGGTGGGGGATCTAGTCCACGACGACTTCATTCGGTTTATGACGCTTGCGATGGATGTAGTCCTGGTTTGACATTTCTCGCCCATCTCCTTCAGATTGAGTTGAATTGTCTTGCTTATCTCTTCTAGTAATGCTTCCTTTGATCTACATATCAAAATGTGTCATAGGAAGGATTAATCATTGATGCTATGATCAAGAATAATATGAATAAGAAAAATAATCAATTTGAAGGATTATTTTGTGCAAACTCTATAATTAGTTGGCTATATTGACTAAGGAAACATCGAAAAGGCAACAATTTTTTTTTGTTTTAACTCTACGACATAAAAGGAATAGGAATGCCTCAAGAAGTTTAGTTATTGGATGATCTTAGTTTAAACTTCAATTATACTTGGTTAATTAATTCTTGGAAAAAGTGCTTCTTAGTTGAGAAATCGACGCCTTCATGGAGGCAAAACGATGCCTTCATGACCGCCATGTTTGCGGCAGTACTCCAGGTATGTATGAGAATCAAGGTCGACTACATGATTGAGGATACAATAATAAGTTTCCTCATCATGATGGTAGGGAAGGAGTAGTTAGGGAGATTGATGTTTCCTCCCTGCCCCCGCTTGGATGCCAGGAACACGACCAAAACCTTCGATATAGTTTCTCACGAGGTCGAAATGACATTCCAAAATAAGGAATGGAAAACGAAAGATCGATCTTGCGCTGGAAAATGACGGTTTGGTCAGCAATCCGGTGAAACGATATCGATCATGCAAAAACCCCATTTGGCGATTGGAACTTCCGTCGTTGATGGAACTGGAAGAAGAGAGTCTGGACATAAGCTTGGCGCATTTGATTGCCAAGGATGAAGCAGCCAGACTCCTTCCGACCAAGGATCAAAGGTACTCCGATGGATTTTCTGGTTTTGAGAAAGGGCACGGAAGGCTTGACCTTTTACTTTGCTCTGCTTGCCGGAAAATATACTATGGAAATCTCCAGATCCGGTGGCCGGAACGACAAAGGGTCGTTGGAAGATTATTCTCCATAGATCTGGTTTTCTGGGATTCTAAGGTTTATTTCTAATTTGGTTATCAAATTTTTAATTAAAAAGAGTCCTCCTACAACACCACCAAAATCCCCATTCCGCCTTGGACTAGTGAAGTCGGGGGACGCGCTTTCCCTTTTAATTAAACCCCTCTGCCCTAGCTTTGATTCTCTAGTAATTCTTACTCGTAGTATTGGTGATGTGGCAAGGAAATCAAAAAGAGAAACCTCTCCCCAACTACATCCAAGCTCAGGTATACGATCTCTATTCCCCCTACCCTTCTTCCTTTTAACTCTCTTCTTCGCCCTATACATGGTCCTATGTTGGCAGCCTTGCATGCTACGTACTTGGATAGGAGGAAGGGGCTTTGTCCGCCGCCAATTAAGGTGGAACAACAATCTTATGAGATTGATTTGTTTGATCGTTCTTAGGATTTCATAATGGCTCATGTTTCCTCAGATCAGGTGGTTCAATTCTCGATGAAAGAAGTGCATTCAACCAAATATTGCAATGCTCACTCGCTGCTCGGGCGTCTATTTACAGATAGTCGGGTTACCACGTTGGAGATCAGGGATGTTGTGCTCACACACTGGCAGGTCAAGGGGAAACTAAAGGCGGTGATGTCAAAATATGGGTGGTTCGAATTCATTTTGCCCTCAAAGGAAGCTAAGACATGGGTTCTTAAGAGAACCCCATGAGTGGTTAGAGATAAGATCCTGCATTTGCGAGCATGGACCCCAAATATCTCGAAGAAACTATACGATGATCTCGCCATGGTCCCTTTACGTGTCCAATTGTGGGACGTCAAGGAGGACTGCTGCACCCAGCAATTCGAAAGATAAATGGCGGCTAATACTCTTGGCCATGTCCTGGAAGCTGGTGTCTTTGCTAGTCATGACACTGCTGAACGTTTTTTGAAAGTAAGAATAGTTATTGATCTCACCAACCCATTACGATCTCAAATTATGGTGGCTAATGATGATACAACCATACAAGATGCTTCTGGGTCACCTGAAGTACGAATATCTCCCATCTTTTTCCTTTCGTTGCGGTCGAGTGGGCCACTTCATTCAAGAGTGTACTTTTGATGCTCCGACTCGCAGGGAAAGGTTTGGACCTCATATGTCCACAGAAATTGGGGGTTCGAATCTATGATGCTGAAGAAGAAGCTCACCAAATTCGCGGGAATGCAAAATCGATGCAGATTAGCATTGAGTTGGGAGACCATCGAGTCGCCAGGGAGGGGAACCGGGCTCGTCCTATGGAGCTCGATGAGAATTTTTCCGACCAGTCCCATAAATTGGGGCCCAATGGAAGCTCAGGACCTGTTCATTGTAAGAAAGCATCTTCCAAACATAAACGTAGAAGTCCAAAAGGGTTCCCAGTTTTTGAAATCTCTGAGAATTAAGATTGGCCGGGGGATGCGCCACCGGTCACCTCACCAAGGAAGAGTTGCTGAGATTTGGGAAAGTGCTACTCCTGAAACTTTTCACAAGGTTGAGTGTGGTGGAAGAAGAGAGCGGCCCTCCCGCAAACTGGCAGCCTCAAAGATGACGGTCCCTGTTGAAGCACTCCTTTTTGTTAAGCCAAGGTCTGCCGAGACCCAGGTTTACCATGACTCTATACCTTGAGCATCTAGTCAGGATCACATGCGTCGACATAGGTTGATTTTGGAGGATTATGAGGAAGATTCTCCCCCGTTTCCTGCGATTAATCTCTCCATGCAATGTGCTCAACTAAATGAGAAGGGCAAGCGCCGCCTCGTGAAAGCAGCTCAAGAACCCATATTGCTGGGGGCGGGGATACCTATATGATGGCAGGGGATGCTTGTAACCCCCTCATACCCTCCTTGTCCATCCGTATCCGTCATGCCCGGAACAGTGGGAAACGAGATGGCAAAAAGGAGCGGGGTACGGGGAAACCGAGGAATCAACCTACCTTGTTTGCTCCCAACAGGTTGGTGACTGAGAAGGCTGTTTTAGACAGGCAGGTGCCGGCAAAGCATTGCCCCTCCTCTCACTTGTGTGTTGATCAACCTCATAAGAGTCACAATTTCGTGTCTATGGAAGGCCTGGTGGATCCCTCTTCGGAGGAGGAAACTTCCCGCTTCGAGCTTAAGAGCTGAACGCCAATCAGGAGGGTTCACCAGGTAGTTATTGCGTTTGAATCTGGGATATCAAACGTGATGAAATTCAGCTAGCTCCCAAAGCGGTGGAAAAATTGGAGCATGGAAGGAGAAGGAGGTGGACGCATCTGGACAGCTCGATTAATATGGGAGTCACTTACTGGACCCAGAGTTTGGGGGGCGCAAGCGCCCTCTGATCGTGGTGGCGGAGGAGATAGGTGATAATCCTACTCCCAAGAAGAAATTTGTGGAGGATGATACTGAAAAGGTGGAGGAATCCAGCCTAAAAGTGGTCCCAATTGGATAAATGAGGCTTCTGGCCTTGAATGTGCGTGGAATTGGGCCATCCTTCACATTCCAAACAACTATAGGTTTAGTTCATTCTAATAAAACGGACCTTGTCTTTTTTTCGAAAACAATATCACGCCGGAAAGTCGTGTCCCGCCGTATGCGGGGGTTAGGTTTTGATAATTCGTATTGTTTTTTGTTGATGCTATTGATGCATCTGGTGGTCTTGTTTTAACTTGGACCCCTGAAGTTAATGCTTCGGTTTTTTTCCACTCCAACTTCTGTATTTGTACTCAAATTAATGAATTGGAGTCTTCTTATGTCGTGGTTTTTGTTTACATTAGCTGCATTGAATCAATAAGAGCTACTCAATTGGCTCAGCTGCGTGAAATTTGTGATGAGATCACTCTGTCTTTCGTGGTTATTGTGGATTTTAATGTAACCCTCTAGGCAAATGAGAAAGATGGCGGAAATCCTTGGAATGCCGCCCAAGCAATTGAGTTCCAAAATTTTGTCCATGATCTGGGCCTCCATGACCTTGGGTATCAAGGTGACCAGTATACATGGAAAAATAAACGCATGGGTTTGGCTTGTATTCATGAACGTCTGTATAGGGCCCCCTGCTCTCAAACCTTGTCTAACACTTCACAGACCAAGGGTCTGATCACCGAGCTTTGCTCTTATCAGACAAACCTTATCTGCAAAATAGTAGGCCGTTATTCCGCTTTGATGCCCGTTGGGCTGATAATCCGGAGGTTAAGGCTATGGTGACGTATGTTTGGCAGGAGGAAATCCCAGGTACGCCAATGTATCAGCTTTGGGAAAAACTTAAGAAGCTCCGACATTTGCTTTATGACTGGAGTAGGGCGGGGACTACTAATTCTCTCCATGATATCAGAACTCTCCTTGCGAAAATTGATCGAATTAAACTTAGTTTGCCAATTGACTAGGATGAAGTAAGGGCGTTGGAGACAGAGTTGAATAGGCAATGGGAGGCAGAAGAAGTCTACTGGCAACAAAAGTCGAGGGTCCGATGGCTCAAAAAGGGAGACAAGAATACCTCGTAGTTCCACACGGTGACAAGGGCTCGCAGGAAACACAATTTTGTTTCCGGCCTCCGTAATGAAAATGGAGAATGGATTACTAAGAAGGAGATAAGGCTGACATTGCCACAGATTTCTATCAAAATCTTTTCACATCGGAGAATCATGTGTTTAACATGGCTGATCGGATGGCTGAGCTCCCAATAGCTCGAAAATTTACTGATGCCATGAACGCCAGTCTTATAGTAGAATTACTTCCTGATGAAGTTAGGAAAACTTTCTTCTCCATGGGCTCGAAGCAGACACCAGGGTGGGATGGTTTCATAGGAA